TCGGACATTGCTATTATATCGCACAGTTCAGGGGTAACCAACGTTCGGACTTATCTCAGGTACGTTAGTTCATGTGTCAATGTTAACTTAACTCTCCTGCCTTGTTGCATTCATACAATTATTTTCTATAACCAAATTTAGACACCATACAATTAATTGTGCATCTAGCAAGCAATACAAGAACTTACGGGTTGCAAATGCCTCCATAACATCAATTACTTATTTGATATCTATTATCCTTGCCGTCGCTTAGAGGATGAGACTTTTTGTTGCGCAGGTGCTGCACTTACAGTTATCTAGGTCGAGAGCGTAGATTCCCCACATATTCGCGTAAGGCACCTGCAACTGTTCTAAATCGTGTCCATGTTTGTCTGTACTGAAATGCAATCAGGTTTAATGTCAGACTACGCCAATGGTTAGCATACTAAAAATATTCATTAATACACATAGAGTGGGACATGTATATAGCAACTACAATTATAAAAAATACACATAATACACAAACTGACTTTTCAAAGCGCAAAGAATCAGAAAAAATTGCAGAATAAACCATCTACAGCCAACTCAGGTGAATACCCATTTTAAATTTAATTTTGTGTTCGGACTAATTCGTCGTCAAAAGAAACCAAAAGTTTTCGCCCAGAAGAATGTGAAATCTTATTATCACATTCATGTAATGTGTTTAAACCGGCTTACCGCCGATCCATTCGCTCCACCGCAAAACCTCTTCCGGAATAACACTCTCCCGTTTTTTCGGTAGCTTCTCTTTCAAGCACTCCGCAAACAAAACAGCTGTCCGCGGCTCGTTAAACAACGGGATAGCGAAATCAATAGCATTTCTTCTCATAATATAGTCCTCGTCCAACAAATCTTCGGCCCGCGCCTTGGCAAGGTTAAAAACGCCTCGAATGTCGTATTTTTGAAAGACCTCTCGGAGTTTCCGCTTATCAGTCTTTGGGAACTCAATCACAGTGATCTCGATTGGCTTGCCATCAAATGTGATGTCTGAGAGTGCGGCTTCAAGGTACTTGCGGACTGCATTAGAGGCGACGTAGACCTTGTATCCCATTGGCGCAAGAATCTTGGCGACCTGACCAAGAGGCTCGGCTTTAATGTCACCGCCGAAGAGGATCCCGGATGGTGGAACAGGCACCTTGAAGTTCATAGTAGCCTGCATAGCAGTCCAATAGGCCTCGTGCAAATCACGGCCAAAGCAAGCAACTTCGCCAGTGGACGCCATCTCGACGCCAAGGAAGGGATCAGCACCAGCCAAGCGAGTAAACGAGAACTGAGGAACTTTGACAGCAACATAACCTCGCTTTATCGCCATCAAGTCAACTGGCTCGGGCACATCCTTACCGAGAAGAGCTTTAGCGGCGATGTCAATGAAGTTGACTCCGAGAACCTTGGAAACAAACGGGAATGATCGAGAGGCGCGAAGGTTACATTCGATGACCTTCAGATCCGGTAAGTCCGGGCTTTCGGGATTCTTAGCCTTAATGATCTGCATGTTAAATGGTCCTGAAATCTTAAAAGCGCTCGCAACCCTGTCTGAGATCTCCTTCAATCGTGCCATGGTGGTCTTGTCAATTGATTCGGGAGGAAGCACAAGAGTAGCATCACCAGAGTGAATACCGGCATTTTCTACGTGCTCCGAGATGGCGTGGACGAGAACCTGCCCGTTGTAGGCGACAGCATCGACATCAATTTCCTGTGCTCCTTCGATGAACTTGCTGATAACCACCGGGTGGTCCGGTGAAACGTCAGTTGCGAGAGTCAACTTCTCAATGAGCTCAGACTCGCCCCAGATAACCGACATCGCGGCACCAGAGAGAACGTACGAAGGACGAACAAGTACAGGATACCCGGCAGTGTCTGCGAAATCCTTGGCAGCCTGGAGAGACGAAAGTTCCTTCCAAGCAGGCTGGTCTACGCCTATCGAATCAAGAGTAGACGAAAACTTGTGACGGTCTTCAGCCTTGTCGATATCCTTAGGATCGGTACCGAGAACCTTGCAACCAGAGCTCTGAAGCTTGAGCGCAATGTTCTGAGGAAGTTGGCCACCGACGGAGACCACAACGCCCTTGGCATTCTCAAGCTCGTAGATGTCCATAACTCTCTCGTACGAAAGTTCCTCAAAATACAACCGGTCAACCTCATCGAAATCAGTTGAGACAGTCTCAGGGTTATAGTTGATCATAATAGTCTTCTTGCCAGAATCACGGAGGGCACGAGCTGTGCTAACAGCGCACCAATCGAACTCGACAGAGGAACCAATACGATAGACACCAGAGCCGAGAACCATGGTTCCATGTTCATCGAAGGTAATGTCAGACTGCGTGGCGTTGTAGGTGGTATAAAGGTAGTTGGTGTCAGCAGGGAACTCGGCAGCGAGAGTATCGATCTTCTTGACGAAGGGCACGATATCAAAGCCCTTCCTGCGCGCACGAACTTCGTCCTCTGAGGAGCCAACAGCAAGCGCAATCTGCTTATCTGAGAATCCGAGCTTCTTGGTCTGCAAGAGAACATCCTTGGTCAGACCGAAGAGGGAGCCAATGTTCTCAAGATTCTTCTGCATATTGACAATATTCATCAGCTTGTACAAAAACCACTTGTCGATTTTGGTGAGCTCGTGCACACGGTCGACAGTGTAGTTCTCATGCAACAAAGCCTGTCCAACAGCGAGCCATCGACGATCACTTGGGTTCGCAAGAGCAGTGTCGAGATCTTCGAAATGAGCACCTTGGAATCCAATGAACGACGGATCGACTTGACGAATTGCCTTTTGGATAGACTCTTCGAAAGTACGACCAATAGCCATAACTTCACCGACAGACTTCATGGACGAGCCGATATCGCGCTTGACATGTTGGAACTTCGAAAGATCCCATCGTGGAATCTTGGTGACAATATAATCTAGCGATGGTTCGAAGTTTGCGGAAGTAGTTTTGGTAACGTGATTAGGCAGATCCGGAAGCGTGTGCCCGAGAGCGATCTTGGCAGCAGTGTAGGCGAGTGGGTAGCCAGTAGCTTTGGACGCAAGAGCAGATGATCGAGAGAGACGAGCGTTGACCTCAATGACGCGGTAGTCCAATCCATCTGGTTGAAGGGCGTACTGGACGTTGCATTCACCGACGACTCCCAAGTGACGGATAATCTTGATAGCGGCTGATCGGAGCATATGATACTCCTCATCGGACAAAGTCTGAGAAGGCGCAACAACGATCGAATCACCAGTGTGGATTCCAAGAGGATCGAAGTTCTCCATGTTGCAGACGGTGATACAGTTGCCGGCAGAGTCACGGACAACCTCATATTCAACCTCTTTCCATCCCTTGAGTGACTTCTCAACCAAGATTTGTGGCGAAAGACTCAAACTCTGAGATGCCAGATTTCGAAGTTCGGTTGGGTTGTTAGCGAATCCAGAACCGAGGCCACCCAGGGCATAGGCTGATCGAACAATTATCGGGTAGCCGACATTCTCAGCAGCAGCGAGAGCGTCATCAACAGTAGAGACAGCAACTGACTCAGCAATAGGGATGTCGATCTCTTTCAATGCTTTAGCGAACAAATCACGATCTTCAGAGGTTTCCAGAGTCTTAATAGGGGTACCAAGAACTTTAACGCCATATCTGTCGAAAACACCCATCTTGTCGAGCTGGACACCAACGTTCAATCCGGTCTGGCCGCCGAAGGTCAAAAGGATTCCATCTGGTCGCTCCCGTTCAATGACATAGATAATATATTCCGGAGTAACCTGCACCCATTAGCCTGTTTTATCATATACCGCAAGAATGACTTACAGGGAGATAGTAAATCTCATCAGCCAAAGCATGAGAAGTCTGGTTGGTTGCAATATTCGGATTGATCAAAACCGACTTTTTGGAGGCTTCCTGAAGAGCCTTAATGGCTTGTGAACCTTTACAACGGCATTAGCGAGTGTCGATGTTCATGATCATTTCTTCCGAGTATGATCCACGACTCATGTGGTTCAGTTCTCTCACAATATAGGTGATCACATACCGGAATAATCAAATTCGCCGGCCTGTCCGATACTCAAGGCACCGGAACCAACAACCAACACCTTAGACACTTCAACGAGGTTTGGACTCGCGTTAGGTATGATTGTCGAGGCACCCTGATAAGGTCCCCTCTTGCCAGTGATGTCCAAGGCAGGTGCTGAATCTCCGCAACATGTTGCCGACGAAAACTTGCGGGCCAGTTTCAAAACAGAAAAACCTCGAGAGACGGGGAATGCCGAAGACGCATTTGGCAACGAGATCGCCCGATGAGCGGTAGCGGCCAACGCAGTTGCCGGTGTCCGAAGAAGTATTAACCGCGGCATTTCGTACTTCTTCAGTACTCTACTTGCTGAGATACGAGTCTCGAGATCAAGAGCAGCTGAATAGTTCGGAGAATTTCTAGAGAAAAAGAGTCTCTAGGGGCGCAAAAAAATTCCGATGATGTCGTGTGCTCCAAAAGAAATTTTCCTTCCTCCACCAAATTTTAGTGTCGTACAGAATCCAAAATTTGGTACGTACGGATACGGAGCTATGATGAGCAATTGGCAAGCGCTCGCTTTTTTTTTTAGTCTACGACCTATAAACATATACTACCTATCTGACGGAAAAGATGAAAAAATTCTATATAACTATTGTACCATATTATATTTAGCGACAAAAGTAGGACTAAATTGTGTGATGAGTGACGTGAGTCACTCATCTGTTTAAAGTTCATTTCTGAAGCGTCTTTGTGAAGGATCGATGATTCCTCTTAATGACATGTCGACGTGCTGAATCCTCACAAACCGCAGCAATGAAACGTCTGGATCGAGCTAAATCAAGTAATCCGAGGCTGCATCCTTTTTGAATGGTGAAGTTAGAGAGAAATGCTTATAACAGCGCGCTCCAGCTAATCGGCATATTCGGCAATGACCCTAACCCTGCATCACAGTCTGGTCGAAACGGATTCTACTTTTATGGCAGGGTAACTCCAATGTTACCCTGCTAGCTCAATTGGCAGAGCGTGAGACTCTTTTAAAAGCGTAGCTATCTCAGGGTTCGAGACCCCCGTGGGGTGTTTAAAATTTTTTGGCACTATCGTTGACGTCATGTGATTTGCGTGGGTCATCTCTATATGCATAATATAGGAATCACAAGGGTAGATAATTTCTATTGAATGCCTGTTATGACCATAGTTCGACGTATCTGACGCTGACATAAATCTGACAGCAGACAACATTATGCAATTCAGACACCACGTTTAATTCGACAGTCTGTGTCAGGCGACATTAAGGGATCATTCAATTATCGTAATATCTTTGCAACTATTCTTGCTTCTGAAGTCCTAGTAATTGTTCATGTTCGCTGACCGAATTACTCCAACGTTAGTTGCTGCTGACGCGTAGGGCTGTTACGAATATTCGTAATTGCGAATATTATTCGTAACAATTTTCGATTGCGAATAAATTATTCGCAATTCGCAAATTATTGAGTAGTTAATTTTATATCGGATGTCCCGTTCAGTTGCGCGTTGACGGGAAACAAATTTGTACCACAAAAACACTGGGAGGTCAGTCTTCTATCTATAAAATGAGATGATAACTGTATACAATGATTTACTAGCACTTATGTACACCAATTCTGTATATGATAGTTCGGGCAGTTAATTACTGCTTATATACATCATCTAGTAGCATTAGAATCCTCATCGTTTCAGACTTCATGGAGTATCTTTGTATCTTACGATTCTCTACGATTGCCCGCTCGCGCGATCCATCTGTAGTAAGGTGGCCATCTCGGGTTCGAGGGCGCAGCGGAGCAAATCCCTTGCCGTAGCTCCCTGTAATAGTAGAGGATTTAGAAACTTCCTAAGAGAAGGCTAACAGACCCCTGGGAGAAGAAGTTGCTTGATCCAGCTGGACGCTATGTACTTATTACCTAATTAGTCAACTTTCTAGCTTGTTGAGGTATGTCACGTGCTAACCTTCGAATATCGAATAAATATTCGCATACTTTAATCCTGCGAATAAAATTAGCGAATATTATTCACACTGTTTTGAATTGCGAATACGAATAACGAATATTGCGGATATCTGCGAATATTCGCATTTCGCAACAGCCCTACAGTGACGCGACCGTACGCCTAGCTGATTGAAATATCGCGTCGCAACGAGCGCACCACGTGTAATTGCATATACAATAGAAGTTAGCTGCAATGTAATAACTCAAGTTGCTCTATTTCATGCATGATGGGCAAATATGACTCTTGTCCAACCTTGGAAATCTTAGGCAGTAGCTTGTACCGAATGTTACAATCCAAGCCGCAGTAATTACCCTAGCCCACAATTTAGGCGCAATTATTTCAAGTTTATGGTGCATACCGTCTTTCTACTTTGCGTTCGAGGCTAAAGTATGAAAAAGCGCAAGGCTATGACGCCAACAAGCAATGCTTCAGCTACTTCAGGCCTAATTCGAATTGAATTGTAAGAAATAACTACAACGTCTACGATCTGGTCAGCCGACAGCCTGTATACGATACATTGGTTTTCATAACATAGTTGTCAGGATGTCATTGGAATCAGCATTAGAAGAGGAGCGTTTGGAAATTCTGAAGCTCCTGGATGCCAAGAAGCCGAGGGCTTCTGAGCCTTTGGCGGTACCGGCAAGAACGTCGCGTTCAGCATCACCGATGAGGTCGCAGGACACCAGATCACCCTCAGAAGGTCGTGGAGGATCTGTTGGAGGGCCTCCTTTGACCGGAGGAATGATTACGCCGTCATCGCTCGTGAAGAACTTTCACAATCTCTCCCCTGCTGCACAAGAGCTGCTACTTTCTAGTACATCAGTACCAGAGCTAATTAGAGGATCAAACCCACCGTCGTCCTCGGTCCGCCAACGGCGGCCATCGACGGGTTCTATATCAAGCTCGTCGATGCTGCTACCATCAGCTGGCCCTGAACTGCCACCGTATGCGAAACTGGGAAGCGGTTCCTCCTCTATGTTGCTACCGAACACAGCAGCGCAGCATCACCGCGCATCTTCTTTTGGGTCATATTCTGACGGCGGATCACTACGGAGGTACAAGTCTGCGGATGACGAACAAGCCGTTCGAGCGTTTATATCCCAGTTGCAGTCACAGCCACAATCCTCAGCTGTGCTGGGCTCCCCAACGCAATCGTCGCAGATTTCGGGAGGTGGGCCAATGTCGCCAGCTGTGTCAGCGTCCAGTCGGTCACGTTCACCCGCTTCTACACGGCGACCATCGCTACCGCAGCAACCAGAGGAGGATTTCTCTAACGCGTACCGGCGTCTCTCCAATGCGGCGTTGTTAAAATCTGGTGGGAAACTTGCGGCATTGGCTTCGAAGCGGTCACCGTCATCAGATACTCGGCTCGAAAAGGATGAGGAAGATGAGGGTGCCGTTGAATCGTCTTCTTCTTCAGAGGAGGATGACGATAACTCGGATGATTCAGATATTGAAGAACAGGTTTCGAAGTTGGAGAGGACGAGTAACACCAGACAGCCACAAAGCCTTTTGGCGGCTATGGAAGAAGAACGGAAGGCAGTCACTTCCACCAAGAAGTACAGTGTCCAGTCACTTATTGCACCGCCGCCACCGTCACATATTGATGGAGCAGCATCTCACAAGCGGCATCTCATACATCCAAAGACGGCCTTCGACCTTGTAGAAGACGCCACCAGCTCATTCAATTCTCCGTATACCTCAGATACTGAGGAGGCCATCGATATCCAGAAAGCTGTCAATCTGCCGATTAAATTTTCGGACATTGAGGCCAATTCTACAGCTGGACGTGTTTTGCGGACAATAACACGCGGAGATTATGAGACAATCAGCAAGGACCCAATGCTGAAAAGACGTTCGTATATTGTTGCTACAGATTCGTCTGCTGAGTCTATGTATGCTCTCGAGTGGACTATTGGTACGATTCTACGTGATGGTAATCTCATGTATGCCGTTTTTGCAATCGAAGAACCTGAGGATACGCCATCGACACCGTCAACAGCTGATGAGTCTGCTGCATCGTCCGCTTTGGAGCAGGAGAGGATCACTGCTGCAAAAGAAATAACATCAGTAATTGTGAAGCTGCTCAAGAAGACTCGGCTGCAAGTCGAGTGCGTCGTGGAGGTAATGCACTGCAAGTCGCCAAAGCACCTTCTTTGCGATGTGATCGATTACCTCTCACCAACGATGGTCATTCTTGGATCACGTGGTCGGTCTGCGTTGAAGGGCGTTTTGCTTGGGAGTTTCTCGAATTACTTGGTAACAAAGAGTAGTGTTCCAGTCATGGTTGCAAGAAAGAAGCTGAAGAAGTCGAAACACCATCGTGGAGCTATGCCGAAATTCAGCAATAATTTGAGAGAAGGCGTTACAAGTTTGAGTTTGGCGAAAGTCGATTAGGATTTGCATTGCTATATTATCACATATACAGTTTGGAAACGGCGTAGTAGACAGAATATGAGGATGGATTGTTGCAGGTTGATTTTCATTTCTTTTCAGTTGTAAATTATTGTTTTATTTTACGTGTTTTCTTTGTACAAGCAAACTTTTTTTTGGTTCTATTGTGATCTATAATACATGACTACAACAAGATTCAGCTGTCAATCAGCCGATTACCTGTTTCTATCCCAAACACTCTTTTTCTTCCGCTTGACAGCGCCATAGATATTGCCGGTACTGAGATCCCAGTTTTCGCCCATAAACTCATCTTGCCGCGGTTTCTTCCGCTTGTTCTTCCCTTCATCTTGCAATCGCACAAAATTCGCTTCTTCATATCCGCGAATCTTATCTTCTTTTGCCTGTGCCCGCTGCGTACGAGTACCACCTCGTCCATGACCCAGAACGTTCGCGCCAACCGATGGCGCAGCTTCCGGAGCTGTTGATGTAGTCTCTTCCAGATATTCCTCCAGTGCCTGGTTCCGGTGCATCCGGTTGGTCTGCTTTGCAGCTGCTTGACTTGCCAGGGTCTTTGTGGACGGAAGTTTTGTAGGATTAATCTTTGGTGGAACGTACTTCTTGGTCGATGAACTCGATATCGTTAATTCCCTTGGCGTATTAGCCACCAATAGATTGGGCCGCGGCCTGTAGGAAAGCGGTAAATCGTCTTCCTCCTCGTCCCTATCAGCGCTCGCAGCTCCGTTTGCTGAATCTGACTTCTCTTCGCTATCCCCTGACTTTTCGATATCAGAAGCACCCTCGTCAGTCGCATTGGCTTTGTTGGTGGGAGCAATCGATATAGCCCGTAACATTTTCTGGATCTGATACTCTATCTTCTTTTCCAGTGGTCGAACGCCTCGTTCAAGAATAACTCTGTCTGTAACCAGTAGCTCTCGAATAGCTTTGTCCAAAAGTTTCGGATCCATGCAGACCTCCTCTTGATCCTGCGTCTGCTGTTCGTTGCCCACATTGTCGCCTGCTATTTGCGACAACGCAAAAAGAGACCTCAATCCAAGATGATGTACGTAGCTAGCCATAGTATCTGCCTTAAGTCCAAGCAAGGAAATTCCGGGAGAGCCTTTCCCGAGACTGGCAACGTCATATGACTGAAGTAGGTTATCAATACTTTTCGAAGTTGCCTCGATCGATGAGATCACGGTCCTTAAACCAGAGACAAGCTCGTCCGTTGGACCTTTTTTTTCCAAATCCGTAGCTGAGTCGCTCATTCTGGAGGAATGTCTTGACTCACTGCGCAGTTTCGAATCAAATGCCGAGCTACTCTTGCGCAGAAAAATATGGCGATCTTGAAAATCTTTTGGCTCAGAACTCCCAATTTTGCCGATGACCCTAAGGTTTGGAGCAGTCCTTATATCATTAGGTGCTGTAAACTCCCAACTGCCGGGCGCACAGAAGCGGAAATCCATGTTTAAAACCACCATATTTACGCAAACAAGTCGGGCTTGAGCGTACTCACCGCCAACGCGAACAGTGAGGTGATGGTCACAAGTAAGCCGGCCGGCACAAGAGTAGCTCGCAATCCGTCGCCCACAATGGCTCAATCACTTAGACGAGTGAATTTGCCTCCTAGCGAAGTACCATGCAAGTTCTTTAGATCTGGCGTT